TTTAAAAAAATTAATGTGACCTTGACCTGACCTTCGCTACGCAACCCAAGGTCAAACTGATGTGATCAGTAAATACATCTTTTTAAACGCCACAACTTTTGTCTGAAACATTTTTTTGTAAAACTTATATTTTTCCTGATATTCGGGCGTCCCGGTACTTTCCGAACACCCTGTATATGTATATATATATATATATATATATATATATATATATATTCTTAAAAAATTCAGACCTCTGTGAGAAAAAATAGATAATTTTTATCTCTTGTTTTTCGGTAAAATGGGTAGAATTCGAGTAAAAAATTATTGTAACCAATAATTTTGTAGATATTTCCGTAAATATTTTAGAAAATAGAGGTGATATAAAAAATTTTTTCAAACAAAATTTGTTTGTTTTTTTATGTAGAATAAAATTCCGTAATAATGAAATACATGTTTCTATTTAAAAAAGCAAAGTTGACCTCGACCTGACCTTAGCGGCGCCACCCAAGATCAAAACTGATACGGCCATTAAATAAATCTTCTGAAACCATATTTTGTCTTTTGTTTGAGACATTACCCTAAAAAATGCTTTTTTTCGAGATATTCGACTATATTCACAATTTTGTCTCACCCTGTATATATATATATATATATATATATATATATATATATATATATATATATATATATATATGTGTACATATATATCAGGTGTATCAGGGATAGTAAAGCATATCATAGTCTCTCCTACCAAATTGTCAACCTCACCCTCTCTAAAAAATGGACTTGATGTACCCTGTTTCCACAAACGAAGCTCTGACGACCAAGTATGAGCGGTATAACTCTCACAACGAAGATGAAGAACCTTATATTCCCCAGGACATCACGTGTTTATAAACTTTATTATGGCAGGAAAACCTCCAAAAAATGGCCTCCAGTCCCAGACAGGTGTTAAATCACCAGGAGGTGCGAAGAATCTCCCGGCTTGACATAGTAAAGCTAAAGAACAGGATAGGAATCTGGAACGTACCTTATACGCTGCAGATAGATACGAATACAAGTAGATATAATGGAAATCAACGAAACAAGATGGGCAAACAACGGATTGCGCCATTGTAACGGGACAACATTCTACTACTCGAGCATCAACAAAAACGACGCAAATCATCGTAGGATTCTTAATAAAAGATTCATTCAAAAAATATATCAAAAACGTTGTGGCCCACTCTAAAAGAACAATAATATTACAACTGGCTGGAGCATTAGTAAATGTTAACTTAATCCAGATTTATGCTCCTACAGCGGATAAACAGGACACCGAGGCCATTCAATTTTATGAACAACTGCGTGACGAATTAAAAATAGTCAAGAAAAATTAAATCAATATAATCCTCGACGATTTTAACTCCAAAGTTGGTCGTCAGGCGGTGAAAGGAGTAGTAGGAAGATTCGGTCTTGGTGATAAGAATGACCGAGGGGTATGCTCGTCCAGTTCTGCTTGGAGGAGGTACTTGTCGTTAAAAATACATATTACGATCTGCCGCCCCGCAAACTATATACATGGAGATCGCTACATGATAACAACCAGCGAATAATCCGAAACCAAATTGACTACATATTAATAAACAAAAGATATCAAAATAACATCAAACGAGTGGCTGCGTATCCTAGAGCCGACATAGGATCGGACTATAATCCTCTGATAGGAACATTCAAATTCAGAGGAAAGCTGGCCGCAAACAGAAACAAGAGCAAAATATATAATATAGCCTCCCTTAAAGATACAGGAAAACGGGTGAAGCTGAAAGACGAACTCAACAGGCGCATCAGATTCGATAGCAACAACAATGAAGGAATACGTAGAAGACCAATAACAGAACATCAAAACCGATATCCGCACTGCAACTGAAAAAGTGCTAGGATATAGAAATGTAATTCGAAAGAGTGGATGACGCCCGAAATTCTCGACATGATGGAAGAAAGAAAGTTAGCCAAGAGAAATACGCAAAAATACAACCGATTACATCGAAATATTCCGCAAAATCAGAGAAGCAAAAAAACACTTGGTTGACGAGTCAATGTAGAGGAGCTGAAGAACTGTACGCGAAATACGATGCCTTCCACTTTCACAAAAAATTAAAAGAGATCACCAACACCTTCAGGAAAACAAACATCTCAAAATTCATAAAAGACAATAAGTTCTTAATAGATTCGCAGGAAATCTGCAGAACATGGAAAGAGTATATCCGGAACCTATTTGAAGATACACGCTTGGTGACCCCGAGTGATATCATAAGCAATGCATCTGATCCACCAATACTAGAGTCAGAGGTGGAGTACGCGCTTTTATCACTTAAAGTCACCAGGAGAAGACAACATTCACGCGGAGGTGCTTAAACTAGTCAACACTAAAAAATTTTACCAACTATTCAATCTACGACACCGGCAACATACCTGCTGATCTCTACCTTCGTCGTCATACCAAAAAAACCTAACGCCAGATCATGGGAGAAACACCGTCTCATCAACCTGATGAGCCATGCACTCAAAGCGTTCCTGAAAATAATATACAAAAGAATATACGGCAAATGCGAAGAAAAATCAGGCGACACGCAGTTCGGTTTCAAGAACAGCCTAGGCACGAGGGAGGCATTGTAATGCATGCAACTGCTCGTACAAAAATGCTACGATCGGCGAAAAGATGTATTTATATGCTTTATTGACTATCAAAAAGCATTTGCTAATGTACGACACGACCAATTAATACCGATCTTACAGGCATTGACGAGGACATCCGGATAATACACAATCTGTACTGGAACCAAACAGCAAAGCTCAGAATGAGCAATACTGCGCAAACTGACAACGTAAGAATTGCCAGGGGGATTTGTCAGGGATGCATACTTTTGCCACTGTTGTTCAACATCTATGTAGAGAAAATATTCCAACTGGCACTTGAAAATCAAACAGCAGGAATAAAGATAAATGGCATCCCTATTAACAACCTACGATATGCAGATGATACGGCGATACTGGCTGAGAATATTCAGAAACTGTAAGCTATCTTGAACGTCATTATTGAAACCAATAATTTTATAGATATTTCCGCAAATATCTTAAAAAATAGGAGTCATATGAAAAAATTTTTCAAACAAAGATTATTTGTTTCTTTACGTAAAATAAAATTCCGTGATAAAAATATATGTTTCTATTTAGAAAAGCAAGATTGATTTTGACCTGACCTTGACGACGCCACACAAAGTCAAACTGCTAACATCACTAAATACACCACTTTATATATTGCAACTTTTGTTCGAAATATTTTCCTCAAAAATGCATAGTTTCCGAGATATTAAGCCCGTCCGGGACATATGGGACACCTTGTACACACACACACACACACACACACACATGCACACACACATACAGTGCCCTCTTATTATAAATATATCTCCTATTATATATATATTTTTTTTTATATTAATAACATTGAAACGACATCGTTTCGACAGTTTACTTCTAGTTGGGCCTCTATATAAACAAAATAAAAATTGATATTTACGGTAATGCATTCCCTGTGCTGGCTTCGATAAGAGAGGCACTGCTAAAGTGAATATGATTGTTAACATCCCAGCTATTGACAATCCTCGTGTGTTAACATTAATCAATGGCAATACTTCGCCATTTTCTTTTATACGATTTAGTGGTATTTTGAAAAAAGGTACGGACACATCCCAACTAATCTAGAAAATATATTGAAAACATTTATTCAACAAAGGGAAAAAAAATATTTACTTATGCTGATCGACAAATCGCTCATTAATAAAATTAACGATAATTATAAATATTATTTTGCAGAATTATTCTGTATACATTCTAAAAAGAAATATTTCTTATATAATTATATTATAACATATGGATACTTACATCAATCTCTCCACCATCAGAATTAAACGAAATGAAGTGAGGCTTATAATTGCCAGCAAACGAATTCAGTTTCGCAAATGTTCTCGCACTGCTATTGCTGATAACGCGCGTAAAACATAGTATGAGAGATAAAAATATGAGAATAATCGATCCTATTGGAACAGTCTTCATATCCAGATTCTTTTTCGATTAGAATATTAAATCACTGTATTAGATCTTTTCAAGAGAAAACACGCGTTCTATCAGACAAGACTAAAAAAGAAATAAAACAAATGAGAATAAATATATATATATATATATATATGATTATTATATAGAATAAGCGTACATAATATATATCTTCGTATTTATTTAATAGATGTAATTGCTTTATATAATAATAAAAATTCTATATAATTCTAAAATATTAACACTAATGACACAAAAATTTATTTAAAGAAGAAGAGACTTTCATACATGCGTTTATTCTATGTATTTAACATTCACAGTTATCTTTTTGACTTACTTTTTTATTCTATGTATTTAACATTCACAATTATCTTTTTGACTTATTTTGATAGCTTCAAATATTCTTAACTTTCCGTCGTCTGTGAAGTAACAAAATGCATTTCTAAGTTTACATACGCTAAGTTAGTTTTCAACAACGAATGTAGTGAATCTCTGCTGGTGTTTTATCTATAATAGCTTGCCCACTCCCGACAAACTAGGAAATACCGATTTCTCGCGGCAGAATTAACGAACCCAGCAGTGAAATCGTGGGTGCGAGACACCAGTCGCTTTATGAAAAGACTACCGGGTAACTAGACAAAGCCCATCTTACACGAATGCACTGCATTGAAGGCCCACTAGTAATTATAGTTAGTTTGCAAGAATCACAGCTGCGCCTATTCGCGAATCATAATACATTTTCACCGGAATAGACTCACATGTATGTGCGACGGAATCCGTCACACAGGCAGAATCGGCCAGCCATGGCTTTCGTGAATTTTCCGAAGCAACGTCCAGAACGAGTTTCAGCGAATAAGAAGAATGCGATTTATGCGAGTTTCGCAAAAGAAAGCATCGTTTCGTATATATGTACATTCATCGTTATGAAATAAATGCATCGCTAAATTATACGATGTTTATGTTTCCTTTTCAAAACGCATTCCTTATCGGAAAAATGTCACAGCGTTGAATTATCATATAAACTCTGTATATCTGTTACATAGAATTTATGAGATTATTGCAATTGTAGTTTATTGAATTTAAATAATAACACTATACAAAAATTCGATATTTTAAGATTAAGACCTATATTAACTTAACTTTATTTTTTAAAACAATTTTATTTTAATCAGTCGTTAATTTTGTTATATATACGTATATACGTATTAATATAATTATTATAATATTATAATCATAAAATTTATGTATAAATTATTATAAATTACGTGTATTATGTATGTGAGATCCTCTTAATATCTTTTCCTTTTTAATTCTTCTTACAAAACTTTTCTTTTCATATAAATACTGAATGCTAAAAATTTATCTTACACACACATACATTTATATTTATTAAATTAATTTACATTGTTTACATTATTTCAAATGATGTTATGTATATATAATTGCTACATATATTGAAATTATTTCTCTCACACACATTTAGTCATAGATTTCATATAGTACACTGATCTTTAACAAGAATTTATTTTATTAGATTGAATTATCACACGTGTCATATCATTAACGAAATTCCAAAGGATCTAGATAATTAAACGAGTTTAGGCCGTAACCTTCGAGATAGCACCTGTTTCGTAACAGTAGAGGACATCCTAACGTAAAAAAGATCAATCGAGGTGCCGGAAATGTCGCGAAATCGTCGTCAAAAGTCAGTGAACGTCTTAAAAGGTTATTGTTACTGGCCAAACTATTATTTCAGCTTCAAGAGATTTCAAGCAAAGTGGCCAACGATGAAGGCTGTAGAAAAGGCGGCCTTCTATATCTTCGTGAAACGCAACGATGACAGAAGTCACGCACTACGTGATGGAAACGTCCCGTGGAGACTCGACAATGAAAGCGAAACCGTCACTTCAATTATGTTCACAACTTATCATGTTCAGACGACCAGAGCGACTATAAATGTTTGAAAGCAGTCTCCATGCAGCCAGTCTGTGAAAACGAGTCGCTATATCGCCTACTAAAATCGACTTTAAACTTTATATTTTGCATTTTGCTTCAGAGTTTATTTCGCCTATTATCGTCAAAGGTATTTAATTTTATTGAACTTAACGTTATATTTATATATTCAAGAATATATTTCCGGCAAAATATTTATTATAAATATCAAAACATAAACATATATGACGAATATTCTGAAAAGACCACATGATACCCTTATAGAAATATTATACTAAGAATCATTGATAATTACTTATTTTCAGTATTAAAAATACTGGATAATAAGTAATTATGAATGATTCTTAGTATGATATTTCTATAAGGGTATTTTAATAACAATCTATCCAATAGTGAAAATAAGAATATTCCAAAATTTAAATTGCTAATAAATACCTTCAATAGAGAAAAATATAATATTTAAACTTATTTAGAAAGTTATTAATCTGACCTTGTGGCCAAAATCGTTTTAGAGAACTGAATTTTAAAATACTATACCATTTTAGAATTTTAAAGAACTTTTCAAGTCAAACCGGTATTATATATATTTAATTATAATAGATCACCATTTATAACCTATTTTTATTCTTTTCCAGATGATGTTTTACATTTCGGGATTTTTAATTATGTCATTAAGCTGTTTTGTTATACTTGTCAATTGCAGTCCAAAGTTTAATGATGGAGGGTAAGTTTCTTATATGTTATGTATAACGGAAAGTGGGATCTATATCTGATTCTTTTTTTAAACATCACAACCTGAAAAACACAATTATATAACTGTTACATTAATGTCGTAATGTGACAAAATGTAATGTGCATGACATGACATTACGTGTTAATTGTAACATACATGTTAATTGTAATTTTTCATTCAAACAATATTACAACTATATAATAGAAATATAACATATTACTAAAATGTTATATAGCTATTATATATTTTTAAGAATGTATATATATATAGTATATATACACACAT